GAGAGAGAGAGAGAGAGAGAGAGAGAGAGAGAGAGAGAGAGAGAGAGGGGACGGGTTGTGATGGTGCTTCTCTTCTATTCTTCTGAGTAATTTTGATATCTGGCGCAGGTCGCCCTTGCCTTTTTTGGATCGGCATCTCGGACTTCTCTCTTGTTTCTTCCCTGAGGATCGATGTGTGATTGTCTCCCCCGTTTCCCTCCTCCCTCTGCATGAATTGGCAACCTGATTGGTCGGTCACCTACGATCGAATTTTGTATGATTCCTGACCAATGGCTGAAGAATTGATGCACGAATGATTGTCAACTCCTCTTTTTGTTTTTGTGTGTGAGTTCAAAGCTGGATGCATGTATGCTTGGCGTTTTTTTTTTGTCGAAGTATGAAATAGTTGAGCATGCTAGATGATTAGATGTCTATCTCATGATAGGATTGCCCACCTTCGGGTTAACGGGCCAGTGCGTACAGGGTGTGAGCTACTGGCCTTTATCCACTTGGCCGACAGACAGGTCTCGTGCACGCACGTGTAAGCCCGACCGAAGAAGGTCGTTATTTACACGCGTGTCTGCAACGTCTGTACTCAGCCCAGATCCCCGAATGTCTGAATTTTCACCCCACCCGGTAGTATAAATATCGAAATCCCCTTTCGCATTACTGACCGCGAGTGCCTGAGGGATCGTGAATTCCAGGAGTATTGGGAACACGCGTGTCTGTCTACACGGCCAAGGGCAGAACCACCGGAATTCCACTACTCCATAGGGAACAAACGTATTTGCGAGTGGGATATTGATCAAGCCTTGGGACGCATCCCCCACCTCCCCCGCTGCCCTAGCTCATACACGTGTCACATCGTTGTGGAACCCGGAATCATTATATTGGAAACCGAATTCCCTCCCTATCACCGCATCCTGCCCTAAGGCTTTAATTCCCTAACAGTCGTCCCCTGGGGCGCACTAGCTCCCTATTGGCCCCAACCCCCGTGCTCGGAGTGCCTGCAAGACCACGATTACCGAGCATCCGGCTTCATCCGGTGAACTCGCTCGGAAGAAGAACGACGGGAGCACAGCCTATGGCTGAGGCCGGCTGCGTTGGACTCCGAGACCTGCGGCGTTCGATGTCGGCAGGCGATCAGCCAGCGGGATAGCCATAGCGTCCCGGCGATACACCAGATACGAGTCCGACCCAGACGACGGGACCAACAGAGGCGGTAGCTCCGCTCTCTGAAAGCACAAAATGGGACTCTGGCCCACGCCCACCCTCTCGCTTTCACCTCCCTAAAACCTGCCACAGGAGATCTCAGTTCCGACCTGGGACTCCACCCCCACTTTCCTAAAATCCTTGGCACACCCCCCTTTTTCGCACTTCCAGGCCCACTCTCACTCCGATCAGGAAGTCGCGCCGGGCGTGAGGTTGGGCGTCACAACGCCTCCTCCCCGTGTGGGGTTTGCTGCTTTGGGGGTGCGGCCAAGTGCTTCTATCCCACTACCACTCTCCGCAACGCTTGTGTTGTCTCTGGCGCTGCCGTCCGCAGTTGATTGATGGGAATTTTGGAGGTCACTGCTTGGTGGGTCTGCTTGCTACCGTCCCCACCGTCACTCGAGATGATTCATTTTCATCCCGTTTGCTTGTCTGCAGTTGGTTCCCCAAAACCAGGGGCTGCTGTCCATTGGCCCTATTGGGGTGTTCTTTGCTGCCATCCAGCTGGTTAGGCAGGGTGCGTAGTCTTGGGCCATGGGCTCCTTCCCGTACTCAGGGGTCTTCTTTGGAGCCAGGGGGTATCTGGCGAGACAGGGATGAGGGGGTTGAAGAACTCTCCGATTCCTGGAGCCTTATCTCTACTGATCCCGGTGGTCACAAGGATCTTATCGACCATGTATGACCAATGCGAGGCCTATGTGGCCACCCCTACCAGACAGTAGAGAAGAGGTTAACAGAGCCCTAAAATTTCAGGCCGTCCATAGACTGGACGAGTGGACACCAAATAAACCAACGGCAATTAAAAAATGTAAAAAAGTGTATCAAAGGGGCCTAAGACCCCAAGGCAAAAGTGTGCTTTCATGCAAAATTAGATCTTTGCAGCTTCTCAGGATTTTCAGGATTTCAGGGCTGGCCAACCAGTCATCTCCAGGACCCCAACAAACACCAAACTTGGCACATGCAGACCTTGATCAAAAATAAAACAAGGGCAAAAAAAAAAAAAAAAAGGAAAAAAAAAAAAAAAAACCAAATGCACTTTTCAGTGTACTTTTCAGTGTTGGGCCTTCCTGAAAGTGTTCCCCCCCCCTCTTCCTTCCCCCCTCCCACTGTTAAGTTGTGTTAACCACTTGTGTTGTTCCTGTGCTGCTTTCCAGTGAGCCGTTTTCTAAACATATTTGCTTTTTTCAAGGGCTGCTGATATGTTGAGTGGAATGTTTCAGTTATGCCCCTGTTGTTTGAAGTTTCCGTCCTGTGTGGACTTTAGGCTGATGTCAGCTTCAAGTAGCTTCCTTTTGGTTCCTCTTTTCAGGGCCCACAAATGCTCCCTTTTTTTGCAAGGCTCATCATGCTCATCACTGTAGGAGTGGGAATCAGTGTGAAGCTGCCAGGTCCAGAGCGTTTATTTATTTATTATTATTATTATTATTTTTTTTTTAAACCTCGTGTTGGGGGGATTACCACTTGAGAAGGTGATAAAAAGCATCCTTCTCAAGTGGATCCCCTACTGGAGAGCTACGTCTATTAGTGGGGAGCAGCACTTGCTGGAAATGGGGTCCAGCGTCCCGACAATGATAATGACATTGTACAGAATGAAATTGAAAATGAGGTTGCTGCCTGAGCATTTATATCCAATGAAGCCACATTTGTGTGTGACACTCAAAGGTGGTTTTTCTAGTGTGGAGATTTCCTGTGCCAGCCTTCTTCGCTGTGACTTTTGCTGTATGTTTTGGGGGGTCTTAGGGTCTCGTTAGACACTCCTAAAAGTTCCTGTTTTTAGGATTGCGTCTTGGTTGCACGCAATCCTAAATCCATTTTCGAGATCGAAAATGTGAAAACGGCGTTAGGACCAGTCCTAAAAGATTTAGGATTCCCCAGCTATTATCGTCCTAAAATTTCCAGTAGCCCCCGACCTACTGAAAATTTTAGGATTCGCGTGTTTCACGGAGTCGTGGCGTCCCGCGCATCACACCGTCTTCTCGGAAGTGCTGGTGCAGAACCGGGCCGTCGGTCCAGAGGTCGGACATCGGAGGTATTCGGCGGGCCGACGGGCCCAACGGCCACCAACGGTAGCCGTTGGCGGGGGGAGGTGCACCGCGGTGGGGGGGGGGGGGGGGGGGGGGGGGGGGGGGGGGGGGGAACCGAGGGTAGGCGGGCTTCTGTAGTCGACCGTTGCATCCGTAGCTCACAATGGAGGAGGATGGCGACGCTCGCAGGACGACAGTCGTACGCGTAGTCGGGCAGTCCGCGGGCCCCAACGGTCGACTTTCAGTCGTACGCGTAGTCGGGCAGTCCGCGGGCCCCAACGGTCGACTTTCGAATTCACGGCGTCCACCTCTGAGTCTGTTGTGTTCTGTGGCGTTTGTCGCGATATGAAGGTCCCGCCAGTGCGTTGTTTGTGGACATGCCGGAGGGCAGTTGCGCAGTACTGTGCTTGCGTGGTGCACCCGAAGGCGAGTTAGATGGCAGGCGTGCTGCGTAGATTGCCTCTGCTGGTGCTGGTCGTCGTCGTCTTCCTGTTTGTCGTCTTCCTCCACGTCTGTTTGTCGTGCCGGCCGTGGGACACACGTCGCAAGCGGAGGGCGTCAACGAGAAGGCCACGCACGGACCGACCGATGGCGAACATGCAGGCAGGCGCACCACAAGTGGCAGGTCAGGGCGGAAGTCTCCTGTCGATGGCGGCGGCCCGACGACGGTACGATCCGTCACCGTGCAGCCATCTGCAGTCGTGGGAGACGCCGCTGCCCCCATCAGACGAGGAGGTGGAGGCGGAGGAACTGGGAACGTTGCCTTTGGCCAGCGGATCGACCCAGTTGTTGTTTTCGCAGACGCTGATAGCAGGAGGGTCGGCCAGCAAGGAAGGCGGCGAGTTCACATCCCTCCTGGAAGCAGGCTTGGACCGCGACGACGACGGATAAGTTTATCTGAGGTTCGGGTTGTCGTCGGGCAGCGCGAGAGAGGCTAGCCGGACATTCATCATCGAAGAGCAACCTTCGCCACGTTCCTTGCAACGTCCGCGAGGCGAGCACACGGAACAGTCGACACTTCGTGGCGGTGCTTCCCTTACTGCCCGTGCCGGACCGTCATCGACAGCGCGCCAGCGTGGAGCGAGCACGCCGTCCGTCAATCCACAACGAAAGACATTGCCCGCACGCAGCGGGGTATCGGCAGCAGCCGCACGCATCAGCGGAGTCGCGGCAGCACCCGCCCACAACAGCGTTGGGCGATCGAATATGTCAAACCCCGCACCCACGCCCGATGATGAATTTAAAGGCGATCCCGCTTGCAGACCGGTGGTGCGTCCGCAGCCTACGGTGGAGAACATAACAGAGGGAGTGTCGAACATGAGGGCACACAGCGATGGTGTCGACGAGAATGGCGGTGCTGGCGACGATGCCGACGATGGATACAGGGAGGACGTCGAAGCTGTTGACGACGACGACAATGCGCCTATTCGGCCTTTGGGGAAGGCGGGTGGGAGGGGGAGAGGCCACGACAGAGGTGGTGGTCGAGGTCGATCCGCAGGGCGTGGCAGCATAGTAGCCGACGGCGACGATGGCGGAAAATCAGCGGCATATTGGTCCACAGACGATCAACTGCTCCTGGTGCGCTGCAAGCGGGAGCAGGACATGCACCTTGCCGGCCTTGGGCACAACTACGGTCGGATGCGAACGAAATAATGGAAGTGGGAGGACATCGCGAAACGGATGGCGAACGCGGGCTGTCCTAGAGAGGCCGATGAGTGCATGAAGAAGTGGGACAATCTATTCCAGAACTACAAGAAGATACAAAGGTTCCAGAATGCCAGCGGCGAGGCAGATTTCTTTAGGCTGTCAAATGAAGAGAGGAAGGACCACAATTTCAAGTTTCGGATGGAGAGAGCGCTCTACAACGAGATCCATGGAGGCATGCTGGGAAACCACACCATTTTCCCTCCCAACATCGCAGACACAGGTAATCCGGACGGTGTGCAGTTGCCGAGGCGAGGAGCGGGCGGCGGGGAGTCTGTTGGTAGTGAGGCGGCCGGTGATGGGTGGGCGGAAGAACGTTCTTCGCCGAGGGAGTCCGACAACAATGTAGGCAGCGGGGCCCGAAGCATGAAGCGGAAGAACACGCGACAGCAGGCGTTGGAGTCCATCGCCGACGTCATGGATCGACACGGCGCGCTGATGTCTATGACGATGGAGTCCTCCAGCAAGCGACAATGCAGCGTTTTGACGAGGCAGTGTGACATCCTGGAGCAGGAAGTTGCAGTTCAAAAAGAGCACTACGCGGCGTCCGATGAAACGCAGAGGATGATGTGCCACGCCTTGATGGAGATCGCTGCCGCCATCCGTGGTCGCTCTACGATGTAAGCCGTCGGATCGTCGATTCGATGATGTTCATTCGTTGTTATCATCATCGGCAGATTGGAGCATAACGGTCGTAAGAGATTGTAGCAATATCGTCGGTGGTAGCTGAGGGTGGTTTGATGGCGAGTTGAAGTGATGTAGCCCGTTTTCGAGACCGCTGTCCATGTACAGCCGTCCACGTCGCAGATGACCTTCGTGGTGGCGAAGTGTAGTGTCAGCGATTTGTTTTCCTTTTTTATTTGTAATTTTTTGTTTCCCCATTTATCAGGGTTTGATGTATTTGCTGAGGATGCAGTTGAAGGTTTTCGGGGAGGGCTGCCGCGGAAGGCATGCGTTGTTGCAGGGCGAGCCGTCGTGGGGGATCGGCGCAGATAGCAACACAGTGGGGCTGTACTAGGCGTCGGGTCGGTCCATGCATGGCGGATCACATGGGGAGGGTTGTTGTTGGGTTGGTTGGGTGTATAGAATTCCGCTGGAATCAGCAGGAATTTAATATCTTCTTTAAAAAAATAAAAGGATGCTTCTCCGAATGAGGGTTTGGGGGTTTGGAGGCGGGGGGGGGGGG